CTTTTTATAAGAGACACTTCATCTTTTAGATTCATTAAATAATTAATGTATTTAGTCTATAATACAAACTAGGTATATTAATTATTTAATGAATTTAAAAAGGTGAAGTGTTCCTTATAAAAAGGACCGGAGGAAGTATTAAATTTGAAGTAGAAAATTATATCAAGACACATCATATGCCACATACTTTATATTTGCCATATCATCATTATTCTTATGTGGCACCTCTCAAAACTCATCTTCATTTTTCAAAAGGTCAAAACACATACTATTCTTTTATAGAGGTCATGAGTTTGAACCTGGAGAAAAGTAAAAATATATTAACTTGAAAACTATTTTGTAATTTTGAAACAAATTATTTGCTTAAATCTTATATAATATTATTTATTTTTGTTGAAATAATTTTTTAATTATAAAAAAGAGAGAAAATAAACTTTGATATGTTAGTTCAATATAGTCTCTAAATAATTTTAGTTCATTTTTATTTTAAAAATAAACGAGACATGGGAATCCTAAAACTATTAAGTATTTTTTATTTTCTTGAAATCATATATAACAGAGGTAAAAGTTGAAACAAATGTCTTTAGTATCAAATTAGTTATTACACAAATTTCAAAGGCTTTCCACTATTTGTTGATATTGAAATATGATAAAGTATTATATACTTTTCAATCATATTACATTGAGTGATGAATTTTTAAAATTCTTCTTATTTGCTCAAAAAAATTGGGACACTAAGATTTCCAACGACCTTTCTTCTTACAAAAAGAACATTCATCAATACCAAGTTCAATTTTATCTTGATATATTCCTTTGGGAATAAAAGCAGCAAAAATAAATGAAGGTGTGGAGAATTCCTTTATTTTGAATCATATTAGAGTGACTTTTAACTCTGATTTCTTTTGCCAATAACTCATTAATAACTGAATCAACATTAAAAAAAGGATAACGATATAGAATACTTCTACGAAGACTCTTAAAATCATCCTGAAGAGCCGTCAGAAATTAAACAAGACACTGTTTTTCCCTTTGCTTAAAGTATATGCTTTGATAATTTTTAATTTTGTTGATTTCATAAAAGCCAATTGATCCCATGAATTAGTCATGGTCAAAGAAAATTCTTGAATGCTCATATTTCTTTGTTTAAGAGCCCTAATGTCACTCTCCAACTGATGTCATCATTTTTTTTAAAATTAGACTGATTACACAAACATTTCAAATGATCTCAAACCTCCTCAGTAGTATCATATTTTGCTAGTTGCACATTTATTGACTAAGAAATAGAATTATTAATCTAGGTGAGGAACTTCGAGTTACTAACATCTCATGTCTTTTTGCATTTTTACATATGATGCTTCATCTTTTTTATCTGTAGGCATAACAAAAGTTCCTTCAATATAACTCCACGTCCTTTTTTCTTTCAAATTTTTTCATTATATAACTTCAATAATCATATAATTTTTTCCATTGAGTAATAATAGATTGATTAGAATGATATGTTTTACTTGCCATGACTACTTTTCTAAGAATTTAAAATTCAAACAAATTCAAACTCAAAATCCAAATGGACTTCTATCAAATTTTATGCATAGAGAGAAAAGAAGCAAAAATACTAAACACAAAATTGACAAGACTAATCAATTGAATGAGTAAGGAGATAAACCGTAATAATAAGGTATATAATTTGGTTGTTGTTGCAAATACTCCATTGAATCAAATGTCTACATTGCAATTCTTAGCCCGACTTTGATACCATATTAAATATGCTTGGATATCATTCTCAAAAGTTAACTCAGAAGGGTGAGGTTGCCCACACATATTTATACACACAACAACTCAGAAACCTAAGCAATGTGAGACTTCAAACAAACTCCAACAACACAAATACTAACTTCAATGTGTATTAGACAAAAGAATTTTAATTTGTTATTTGTTCATAAAATTGAAAAAATGAATATTATTGAAAATTAATATTAGAATCAAACTTCTAATTATTAATTTGATATTAATTTGTTTCATAGAGTCTCTTTGATTTAATAGAAAGGGACAATGGGGAAAAGGACAAAAGAAGATGAGTGATACTTTAATTAAATATATATTTGATTTAAAAGAGCGAAGAGTAGAAGAGAATATGATTTTTAATTTAAAATATATGTTTGATTCACAAAGCAATTAGAAAATTTAAAACTAATATATATTTTTATCCTTAAAATTTTAACATTTATGTCAAGGAAAATAGTTATGCGTAACAATATTTTAAAGTATATTTTATCGAAGAAAAACTTGTTCATCCATATTTAACACAAATAATTAAATAACAAAATATTCAATGCTCTAAATATATTAATACAAATAAAAAATAAAAAAAATCAATAAAAAATGAATTATATTACGAAATTAAAAAACAAAATAATAATAAAAAAAATAAAACATATGAAAACAAAAGAAAATATAATTATAGTAATGAAAATAGTGAAGTTGCCGTGAAAAAATAAAAGTAAAAATGGTGTTGATTTGAAAAAGAAAAAAATGCAGAAGTAACAATAGTTGTAGCGTATGAGTTTAAATTGAGGGAGGAGTCAACTTTTAAGCTCGAGATATAAGCAAATGTTAATTTCGTTAATATAATAAATTATAGTTTAAAATACATCCCTTTCCCTCTAGAAAACCCCAATTCACATGGAACATAATATTACTCAATGAGGATTTTGATTCATTCCTCTTCCTTCCCACCCCTTCTAAAAAGTTGAACCAAACATTATTTACTTAAAATATTTTCTTCCACCCCTTCCAAAAAATCTCAACCAAACTGATCCTTTGTGATAGAATCTTTAATTTTAAGGTAATTTATAATTTCAATGCATATTTAAAATTAAAATTAAACCTAAATATACAATAACAACAATCGAACCTTATCATATTAATTGGGATCGATTGCATAAATCAATTTTATAGTATCTTCCACCACCTCACAGCCTCGTGGGCTTAATGCCCTCCCCTAAGCAGTGTGGAGCAACAAAAGTCATAATAAGGGCAAGTAGCGAATTCTCCAAAAAATGCTTGAAAACAAATGTTTTGAAGGAGCTTTTCACAAACTATGGTTCCTTAATGAATGTAAATATTTATTTCAGACAATGGGATTTTTCACTATATCTATTTAAAGAGTCTAAATATTTCATTCCGTTAGCATTTTTTAAGAACGATACATCTTATTCGATTGAGTAAGAAAGTTATATATTTTTTTTATAAGCAAGAAAGATAATATTAACAATAAGGGCACTAGAGGTATCCTAACCTGCATACAATCTACATTAGTTTAAAATTAAGAATAAATTCCAACAATAATAAGAAATGTCATGAGTGTTTGCAAGTTATAAATTTACTCTGCGTGCTATGAGTCCTCTCTCCCTCTATGTGATTACCATATTTTTTTTCAAAATATAACTCCTCCCACTGCGTATTTAGTACAAGGTGAATAAGAGTTAGCCATCTTGAGATCTTGAGATCAACTGGATTAGAAATGTTAAGCTATGTACTGGATCCTTTAACTTTTATTCTATTTATTGTATTTCTATATGACTAACATAAGACTCAACTTGTTGGAAATTTCACTCTAAGCCTTTTCTAGTACACTAATTTGGACAAAAGACAAGGTTTTAAATATAACTGAATTGCAACAGGAAAATCATTACGCTTAAGGTGATATTTGTCGCGATGTAGACTTAAACTCATGTTTTTTCAAGCTTTGATGATCATTTGTTATTTTTAAAGATTATTTATAATTTCTAGAATGTATCAAAATTGTTGTTTTCTTTTTTAGTAAAAGAATAAAAAAGGGAGAGAAGGGAGTGTGATAGAGAAATAAAAATTATTACTACAAAAGGTATTTTTATTATTGGCTTAATACCCTTTTAAATACATCGAAAGAAATACTTGAATAGAAAATAATGTTCCATCACTTTAGTTACAACTTTTTTTTTATAAGCAAGAATTTCAATCAAAAGAGTACTAGGGATACTCTAACCCAAACTTACAAATAAAAGATAGATTGATAAAAAAATGCAAGAAAATTCAGACCAACTACGATTACGACATTCTACCCAAAGGATCCTGGCAGAAAGCGTAAATATCACAGTTGGGATAAGAATTATCCCCCGCAAACCCCCCATTTCCAAACCAGAGTTTTGATTTCTCACACCAAATCTGCAATACTATATACTACTTCAGAGAATAGTATGTTATTCCTCAACTTCTAAATCGCCCAAATGACCCCTACCCATATGATTCCATGGAACGACTTTTTTATCTTCGCGTTAGACTCGCTTGAATTCCAAGCGATGAAGTTTTTCCAAACGGAGTCATCCTGCTTTAAACCAAAGCCTACCTAATCTTCGACCCTCTTCCAAACTTCGGCCACAACAGAACAATAAAAAAATAAATGGGTTAACGCTTCTTCTGCAGCATGACAGAAAACGCAAGACAAGTCCGATGTAGCGTCAATAATGTTACGCCTAGCTAACTGGTTTTTAGTGGGGATCCTGTTGAGACAACACCTCCAAACAAAGGCTCTAATTCTGAATGGAGCGCAAGTTTTCCACATAATCTTCAACGCTTTATTTCTATCAGCGATAACTTCTGCTCCAGACTCAGTGAAATCCTCAAGAGTACCATAACCCGACTTAATAGAGTAACCGATAATAGGTTCAGGATCCCAAACCACCAAATCTTTTTTACCTTCATCCACTAAACAATTCCGCTCTAATAAAACCAGCAGAGCCTCCAAACTGGGTTGATCAAAGTTAGAACCTATGGGAAACGAAAGCGACATATCCTAGTACCAAACCCCAAGGAGCCACCTTCCCATTTCGCCAACTACTGCTTGCCTCTTAGAGAAAGCTTTAAACAAATCTGGAAATAAAACGAAGAGGGGTCTATCAGATGCCCAAAGGCCAAACCAAAAAGGAGTTCTTAATCCATCACCGATATCATAGCTAATGTGATCAAAGAAAGAGTGGTTGAAACCATGCACTCCAACCAGAGTCAATTAGATCCTTCCACCAATGATATCCTTTGCACGACTTGCTGCTTCTGTTACCGCCAAGAATTGCATTACAAATGTTACCATACCTAGCACGAAGGATATCTAACCAAGTTCCGTCATTCTCAGTCAGAATGCGCCATTTCCACTTCTGAAGTAAAGCTAAGTTGAATTCAAACATTTTTTTACAACCAAGGCCACCTTTGTCAAATCGTTTACAGACGTTATTCCAAGCCACCCGCACCACCTTCCTGGTGCCTTCACACTTGACTAGAAAAGGCCAGGAATTTGTGTGGGATATTTTGTGTGAAGAAAGTTTTCGAGAACTGAAGGAAAGGTTGACTACCGCACCAGTATTAACCTTACCAAATCTGAATGATCCTTTTGTGGTATATTGCGATGTGTCTAAAATGGGATTAGGCGGTGTTTTGATGCAAGATGGAAAGGTTGTGGCTTACGCTTCACGATAATTCAGGATTCATGAAAGGAATTATCCTAATCATGATCTTGAGTTGGCTGCAGTGGTTTTTACGTTAAAGGTTTAGAGACATTATTTGTACGGGTCGAGATTCGAAGTGTTCAGTGACCATAAGAGTTTGAAATATCTGTTTGACCAGAAGGAATTAAATATGAGGCAGTGAATATGGCTGGAATTTCTAAAAGACCATGCCTTTAGCTTGAGTTACCATCCCGGTAAAGCTAACGTCGTGGCAGATGCTTTGAGTCGGAAGATGATACATATGTCGACATTGATGATTAGGAAATGGATTTGATTGAGCAGTTTAGAAACTTGAGTATGGTTTGTGAGTTAACTTCGGAAAGTGTAATGTTGGGGATGCTGAAAGTGAATAATGAGTTCCTTCGTGAAATAAGAGAAGGTCAGAAACTGGATTTGAAATTGGTGGACTTGATGACTGTAGGCGGAACGGATAAGGAAGGAGACTTTAAAGTAGATGATTCCGGTGTGTTGAAGTTCAGAGACAGAATTTGTGTGCCAGATAATATTTATTTGAAAAAGGTAATTTTTCAAGAAAGCCACAAGAGTAGCTTGAGTATTCATCCAGGAGCTACGGAAATGTATAAAGACCTGAAGACATTATTTTGGTGGCTGAGTATGAAGAAAGATGAAATTCTGGTATCAGATATTAGATTTCGAAGGTGATGTTCATGACACAAATATCTGTATAATAAGTACAAAGATAAACAAATAACAATTGTAAAGAGACACAACAATTATTAACCCAGTTCGGTGAAAACACACCTACGTCTGAGGGCTACTAAGCCAGGAAGGAAATCCACTATTAGTAGTATCAATTCAGAGCTAAAATCCCCTATTTACAACCCCTCACTTAATCACTACCAGTGCAACTTCTACCTAGGACACTCCTAGATATGAGACACCTCTCACCTCCCCCCTTAATCACAACAGTGATATCAATCAACAAAAGAAGTCTTTAGAAGATACTCTTCAAAGCCGCAACTTGATCTTGCTTAAAAGCTTCAATAAAGTACAATACACTATTGCTTACAAGCTTTGAGTGGACAATTTACAATTAACAACCTAGTCCAATTCACACATTAACCAATGAGTGAATGACTCACAAAACTAACACACACGAAGCTTAAACCTTACAAAATTGCACACACTTTTTAATCCTTACTTCTCTGATCTCCAAGCTAGGGTTTATGCTTATTTAAATAGCAATGCAGAATGAGCTTGGGCTGTGGCAAAAGTAACAGCAGGTTTTGAGAAGATTTCAATCTTCATCAGTTGCAACAATAAAGCAGATTCGATCAATCAGATCTAATCAAATAATTCTTCTAATATTCAGTCAATCTTCTAAGAATAACTCCATATCAAATCAAATCTGATCCATAATAAGTGTATCAGAAACGCTTTTAGAACACCACGAAAAACACGCAGATTCTACACCAGAATAGTGCAGCAAACTTGCACATAAAGAAATGGACAGACAAACATATTCATACATAATGTTTTGTCCATGAGTGTCAAGACATCTTGTTTGACATCATGAGACAAGTCCTGTTAAAAAGTCCAAAGCAACCTGCTGATCCTGACAGACAAATGTTACGATATCCTGTAGGACATCTTGTGATTACACCTAGTTTTACCAAAATGCCTGCCAATCAAGAACTAACAAACTCTCCCTTTGACAAATTTTGGCTAAAACAAATCACAAGAAAATTGAAACCAATAAGGAGTGTGAAGTCAAGCTTCCTTCAAACATTTATCTTTCGATGACGACAACAAAATATGCTCAAGTATAGATGCGCAAAAAGAAATGATCACTTATTTCAAGCTTCAAGTTTTATCCAACAAGCATTGAAGTTCATCTTGGAGTAAAGCAAAGGTTGATTAAATATTGCTTAACATATTTATACAAGTGTTCTTATATTGCGTCATGAATTTCATACATGTTTAGGCATTATAGATTACCTTGCCATAAGTTTCATGCTTCAGAAATCTGTTTTTAGGCAAAATATCTCAGTGTTAATCCATTAAGACATTCCATTAATCGATTAACAGGTCAAAATTTTGAATATTTTTTGCACGTTACAGTGTGTTAATCGATTAACACATTACATTAATCGATTAACACTATCCAGATTTCTGAAAATATGCATCTGTTCATGGTATTCTTCCTTGCCTCTTCATTTCTTTTCATGGCATTGTTTCATAGTATGACACCTCTATAGAAAGCTATTTTGTGCATTATATAAATAGTTCTTTTTCAGATTTTGAATTTACCTCCTCCAACATTTTTTATAATCAAAATCACTCATATTCTCATTCTTTCAATACATTGTCATAGTGTTCATTACAAACTTTTTGAGAGAAACTTTTAATAATTTTTCTGAAACATCATTCTAGTTTCATCTCATTCATAAGAATACTTGTATATCTATTGTGAGTGATATTTGTTCAAGGAGAAGATCAATATTCATATTGATAAATATTCACATTGTTACTTATACAAAATTCAGATTCACTACAACTTATTTTTAGGATTATTAAAGATGAGTGTGTAGGGTTTTCCTTGTTATCTAGATTGTGGATACAATAGGTCCTTGTGTGAGATATTCATTCTCGGTAGGACTTTAAAATTGTGTAAATCCAAGAAGGTGTTCTTGGTTGTTAGAGTTGTCTTGGTTAGGAAATCTAACATTGATAGTAAATTCTCTTTCATGTTGAAAGGAGAGTGGAGTACTCTCAGATTGTGAGGGGAACCACTATATATCGCTGTGTTTTTTACTTTCCGCATTTACTGCCTTTCATCACCTAGAAGCACTTAGGAAAGTAAAAATCCAAGAATCATTAAAAATCAGAAAAAGTGTCTAAGAACCTAATTCACCCCCTCTTAGGCATTCATATAACTCACAAGGAGTACAACACAGCAGAAAAACTACACAGTAAGGAGAGTAAATGCAAAAGAAACTCCCCCTCAACTTAAGCAATAAACACTACAACAGCCCAAACAACTACACAAAGCAAACCATACTTTCAATAACAACATGTAATATACAACAGAACTGCCTAAACACATAGGCAACCAAATAACCAAAGCACCATCATATAAAAACCTGTAGAACCAAAAAGAACCTACACAAAACTTCACAACATCCCAAACTTAAGCAGCAACAGACACCATCTTCAAACCATCTACACACCTGTCATAAGTATATACCAAACTGTATAAACAGACCAATTTTCTCCCCCTTTTTAGCCACAATGTTTAGAACAAAAAGCTAAGATATGTAGCTTAGATTATAAAGTTAGAAACAATCAAGTTAAGGGCATGGAGACCCCAATAAAAATACAACCCAAAGGCACATGAAGTGCACCAAATTCAGTTCATTCTGCAAAGGCAGACAAAACAAAAAACCAAAAAAAAAACAACCCAACAACAAAGCAAAAGCTCAATCTTCATCTTCAGATGTGGACACCTCAACAACATCATTTCTCTTAGTTGGCACATCAGTACTTTCATCCTCATATTCCTCCCCAGACCCAGCCTCACTAGCATCATCAATATTTGCAGCATCATCTTCTAGGCATTAAATTAACGATTCCAACTCGTTCTTTCTTGCCGTAGCAACATTAATTCTTTCCCCTAATTCCCCAGTGATCAAATCTATCACTTCCTTGATTTCTTGAGCATCTTTCCCCAGCTCCCTTTCCAGAGCAATCCTCCTTTGATAGACATATCTCCACTTTGTCATGCTGCTGATAGAGTGAAAACAGACATTGTCAAGTGGAGCAACAAGCACTTCCTTTGGAGTCTTCTTGGCAATAGATTTCTTCACAAGAGATATGTCAGGGACATCCTTTAGAACATCTTTTCAGAGTCAGTGTTCTCAACTCTCACCTTTCTCTTTTTGGAGGCAGGAGAGACCTTGCTCCATGCCTTGGGAGGTCCAACAGGGGTTTTCTCTTTTGGGTTTTGCAAGGAGATTTCTCAAGCACATCCTTTCCTTTTCTTGACTTCAGTCTCTTAGCAATTTCCGGGGCAACATTTTTGATGAGCTCATCATCAGAAGGCACATCTTCAACATCTACAACATTGTCAGAGGTATTTTTCTTGGTTGGAGCATCATCCATATCAACATTCAGACTAATATCTTCAGCCTCATTCACATAATCATTCAGACCTGCTTCATTACCCTTATTCACATCATGTACCACAGAACTAACAAGTTTTTCCAAGTTTTCAGTGTTAGGGTTGTCATCAGTGGAGGGGATGGATCAACACGAGAGAGAGGAGTGGAAATACCGTGCATATTATGATCTCCATAGAGGATCTTGGTGACAAGTTCCCTAATGGATCTATCCACATAAGCAGAGCCTTCCTTATTTTTCATTCTAGTAATGTTGTCAAAAGGGGATTCAGAAGTGTTACCTTTGGAAGGTTATTGGGATTCGTTTGCATGTGAAGGAGTGGTCTTGGGGACATCAGTTGTATGACCAGGAGCCATGGAAATAGGGGTTATGTCAAGAACATATTGAAGGAGATGTTCATGAGTTGAGCATCAATGTGGGTAGTCTTTGATGAGGAAGCATCATGTTTAGGAGACATCTTGTTGTTTCTGAGAGAAGGAAAATTTTGGGTAGGATGAAGATAGAAAATGCGCAGAGAGTGGGAGGTAGTTTGAACAGTGGTG